AAGAAGTAAAATGTATCTATTTTGTGGCAAATAGCAACCAATGTGTCTTTAACGGAATGTTTTTGAGAACATGTCTTTGTTAAATTATGGCAAGAAAAGGGTATATATTGGATTGTTAAATTCATTAGAATACGGGTTTATATACCATAACGATCTTCATATAAAATTGTTTTCTCTTTCCTTACATTCGTTATTAAGAAATAATATATCCCAAAAATTGATTTTATTGTCAATAACATCCATGTTTTTGGATTGGATTTCGGGGGAATATATCCGAGGGGTTAGCCCGAGTGATATATAATGATGCGGCATCGAACGAAACAAAACAGTGATTGTTTATCAAGCAATAAAAATCACCGATTTGGGATATATTATTTGATTCAAACGACATCAACAAACAAATCGCCGTACGTGATAATTTTAGCTAAAATGGCGAATGATTTGTTTCCGTACTTATTACCAGGCGCCCGTTCACATTTTTTGTGGTTACTCACGTGTATTAATGATTACGTCACATGGTCTAAAATATATAGGAACATCAAACAGTGATTTTATAGCCATAATTTAAACCAGCTCTTTTCGGTTCTTTCTATGTTTCCCAAATAGGAAAAAAAAATGCGGGGGTCGTGTTTATATTGAAAAATTTATGAAAGCTCAAATTTTGATATTAGAAATATAATTGATAATTTCTACACAGCTCTTTGTTAAAATGGAAACAAACATGTTTTACTTCACGACAAAGAGATGCAAATTGTTATGTTATGTTTTAAAAATCTAAAGTGTTGGGGCACAATATAACTTGTCATTTAAAAAGCTTAAAAAAAAAGGTCAAATTTAGTTGGCCTGTTAAAGGGGAAACGCACTGCCCCATACATGTTTATTCATTCTTTTATAAAAAAACATATTTTCAATTAAAATTTTCATGTAGATTGCCAATATATCTCCCGTGATTAAAAATTTTACTCAAGGATGAGCATAAACTTATTATTTTTATTTCACCTTAAAGAGCTGTAACTTTCAAAAATTTTTTTATTGGTTTTTATTTCATAAATATAATTTGCTCAAATGAAGATTTATCAATATTATAAGGTCCAAAAAGCATTATTTTTTAAACATATTTACCAAATTTAAATTTTCATGTTAATAAGGGGTAATTAGAAATCTATTTTGTGTAAAGTCTTTTTTAATTTTTTTCTCAAAAAGAAATAATGCATTATATTTTAATTTATTACTACACCACAATTGGGTTGAAAGTCCGTGCCAGTACATATTTTAAAATATTCTTCGATGTTTGAAAATTGTTTTACAAGCATAATTATAAAAATCTAACATTACGTAAATTTCACTTTAAAGTGTGGTAAACACCCTTAATTACAACACACAGGATCTTTAACCATTTAGCATTTCAGCAATTTTATTTTTTTCATTTTCAGGTTCTTTAGGAGAAAAAAACACCCTCGGGTATCACACCCATTAATGTTGACTCGAATCGTATTCCCTGGCTTATTAACAAAAACCCAAGTGGTGCGAGAGGCATTATCTCGGAACACCTCTGTTTTTGGATTATTGGGAAATGAAAATGGGTAAGATTTTCTCTTGGATTGTAAGGCTCGGAACTGAAAAGCGAAATTTAAGCTGCGCGGTCTCACTTTACTTTCCCGCAGAGCCCGGACCATCCGGTAAGTTACCGGGGATGATCCGGGGTGAAAAATTATGTTTTGATGCGGTCACACTTACCCCGGCAGCAACTACGGTGTTCCAAACTAAGAACCCAGGATGCGCTCCAGGATCATCCAGGCAGGGCCCATTGAAGCTACGGATCATTGCCGGGTGTTCCCCCGGTACGTTCCCGGATTGACGCCCGGGAAAGCCCCGGTTGACCCAGGCAAGAACCCCGGTCGATCCAGGCAGAGGGCCCAGGACGATCCAGGCAGAGGGCCCGGGTTTAGGAACCCCCGTTGGATTTGAAAACGGCGCCGCAAAAATTGATAAACCATTGATAACATAATTTTTATTTAATAATAATATTATTGTTCCAGAATAGTAAATTTCATTGATGTTTCTTTGAAAAATCCCCTTTATGCCCCTTATGCTGGATAGAAGGGGAAATGGGAAGCGGTGTTTAATACAAACAAGTCCCAATCATCCCCGCCAAAATTTTCGTTATTCTTTTGAAATGCCTCCGGGCTTTGTTCGGGGCTATACCGGGGATCAAAACCGTTTAGCTCTACCTTTATTCCTCCGGGGCTCTTTCCGTAGTTACCGGGGCCCTGCCGGCATTTATACCCCGGGGCTCTACCGTTAGTCTACCGGCCTATTTTATAATACCCCGGATTTCATCCCGGTTTGTGCCGGCAGACTTACCGGTGCTTCCCCGGATAACCCCCGGTTTCGTTTCCCCGGCAGAGCTAAAGGATGAAGCCGGCAAAGATTATTACCTTTCCCGGGACCACCCCGTATATTTAATATTTTATTTTCCATCCGGGGTAAACGAATGCCGGATGTTCCCCGGACCATCCCGGATCATCCTTGACGTTGCCGGCAGAGTTACGGATGTACTCCGGTTGTTCCCGGTCGAATATAATATAAGCCGAATTAATGTCAACTTTCGGTTTCTACATATTATGTACTCAATAAACTTACTTACTTTAGTTGGACATTAACTCGATATATTGGAGTAAGCTTAGACTAAGTCAGTATCTCTCATATTAAATTACTATTTGATTATATGTTTAGTTTCTCAGCCTAGGATAGACCGAAATGCGGTACTCGTTCCGTATATTCTTAATATACGTATTGTGTCCGTATCCGGAGTTGGACGGAAAGAGCCGAGAAGATGGTACATAAAAATGCAAAAGGACAGTCAAGGTTTAGCGTATATATGTTTAGAAGCCTCGTTTTCATTTAGAAGTTCTATGTTGTTTGATTTACATACTAATGTCCTGACAAAACGGTAATATAACTGGTCTTACTATTCAAAATCAAAGCAGCTGATTTTTATGTGTTCTCTATTATTTCAGCGGGTTTTTCGGACTTGCGACCTGAGGAATGTTGGGCATATGCTGGCAAGGGTGTCCATGATAAAGTACCCAAAGGGACTTCTTATCACGGAAGGGTCAGTGTTCTGATATAAAATTAAAGTACAAAACCCTTTAAACAATAACGTCAGTGTTAGTTGTAACTGTGACCAGTACCTTCGTTTATAATGTATTTTGTAACAACCGCGTTTTAAAGGCTCAGTGAATGAATGTTCACTTCTTTTAAAAAAGGACATACATAAATTCATTAACATTTAAAGCTATAAGATGCTTGTTACCTGAAGAAAGTAGCGCCGCTAAATGTGAAATTATTGGTCATCAAAGCATCAAAATGTAAACAATGTAGTGTGTTGACTTCCATCGCTATAACTGTATAAATAACAAACAAGCAAAGAAGCAAATGATGGTTCAGGTAATTGACAGATGGGTTACTTTTTTTAACCTATTCAAGTACACAAAAATAAAAGCTTTAGAGAAATAAAAATAAAAGCATTTTATTGGGCATAATGGGTCTTTAATCCATTCTTGTAAAAAAAATGTATTTTTATTTCTTTACCACATCAAAAAGTTTGAAACTAGCCAAATGGCATTTGCGTGACAATTTCTCATTTATTTATTGTTCAGAAAGTCATTTTTCAGCTAATCCGAGACAAGATTTTTCTAAAATGATATTTTTATTGCAAAATGCATGTAAAGATTCTGGTACTCGTAGCATTTAAAAACACCTACTCTTGGTTCTGAAATAATTGTAAACACAAAATAAACGTCGGATACTTTTATTAAATATATACTATGCTCAAATTTGATATTAGAAAATATTGACAATGAACGCAAAGTCTCATTATAAAATTAAATAAACATGTTTTGAATTCATACAAAGTAGATATGTTATGTTTTAACCTCTACACACTATAGGTGGTCATAATAAAAATATATTGTGTCATTTTAAGAAAGGACCAACTTTACTTGACCTGTAATAGGGAATGCAGCTTCCCATTCATAGTTTATCAATTCTTTTATCCAAATTAGACATACTCAGTAAGAATTTCATATATTTCAATAAATTTCCATGATACAAATATTGTACTAAAGGATGAGCTTTAAATTTATATATTTACACGTGAATTACAGATGTACTCATAATGACGAGTTGGTGGAGGATTTTATGAACATATCTTCATCTAAAGAAAGCATGATCATGGCGATTTTCTACTCTTTCCAGTTCATTAGTTCTGACTACGTTACCTTGAATTGTAAAATTCTAATATGCGCGAGACCGTCAACTGCTTGTGACATCGTAAGTTATGACTTAAAATAACCTTTTATAGTTTAGCTTTTACCTTACCACGCTAAATACCTTAAATTGACGTGTGTATCTTTTGATCTGTACAGAATCGTTCATCAGTTTTGTGTAAAATTTCAAGAAAAGAGACCCACTGAAAAGTGGTCAGTGTAGGCCATGGTTAGCTGATCTAGGTCAGCACTGATCTAGTTGCCACCAGCAACCCGCAGCATGCTAAAGGATGCTAGCGGTGGCCTAGTGGTTAAGGTGTCAACCTTTCAACTGAGAGATCATGGGTTCGAGCCCTTATCCCATCACGATTATGTTTCTTCATATGACACTAGTGCTTGTTGGTTCCAAAATGCGGACTCGAAAGTAAATAATGTCAGTTGCCAAAATTTGTTTCGCTATCGAGCTTAAGTAAAAAATCTGGTTAAACCAAAATAATGATATATGTAGTGTTAGAGCGTGGTTAAGTAGTAATACTGCGTCTACAATTACTTCCTGCGAGTCTTCATAATCGAACCTTGAACCGGTACCATTGCACAATAACGAAACGGATTCAATTAGGAGTATTTGTAGCTTGAACTATTCGCCAGTAACATTAGAATAACCTACTGGTATGGTTGTGTCGCATATTCGATCGAAAGAAAGCAAAATCATTGTTTGAGGCACCATTTTTAAAATGACGACACCTGTAGACTTTTTACGGAATTCTAAGCGATCTTCAATCCACTCGCCAAACCTTTTTTCATCTGAAGTATCTATCCAAATAGATTAATGTCTGAGTATTTATTCTTAGGTGCCTGCATGTGCACGACGGCTGCTACGCTCTTCCACCATAAAAAACCTGGAATCGTCACTGGAAACAGTGTCGGTGTCTGTTAAAACCCTATCAGTTAATCGATTAATCAATTAATAAAAAAAAACTTTAATTGAAAAAATGTGTTTTATAAATGATCTGTAATTATTATGTAAATAAAACATCTCTCTATGTGTTCTTAGTCAGATCTGATGTTGTTTTTTATTATACCGAATATAATCTAGAAAAGAAATATAATTTTAACAATATTTATAACATAAACCACGGCGCAGGATTGTAATAAATATGTTTAAGAAAAACTATATTACACTTTGATGTGACTTAAATACGTTATATACAACACTAGCGTTAAAACGCGCTAATACTAGCGTGAAAGTATAACCGTATGTATAGCGTAAACGGTTCTTATTTATGTAATAAATAAAACAATTTGTGTAGGTTCAATACTAAATTAATTGAACTCGTTAAATTTAAACAATATTGTGATTTAAGAACACCACAGTCTCGCGTAGTATGAATCTTTTCAACTCGTATTAAATCTACACACATTCAATATTAGTCATGCAACCGCCGGAAGTGGTCTATTTCCAGACAAATTATAAGCTTTAATATTACGGCATAAATTTCAATTTGAAGACGGCAATAGTAAAACATCTTTATGTTTTCGTTTTATTATGTTGGAAACAAACGATGTCATGTTATAAATGTATGTGGACATTAATGTTTGATAGAATATTATAAACTTAAAGACGTGCTGACTTAAGACTTGAGCCGCGTCACGACAAAACCAACATAATGGGTTTGCGACCAGCATGGGTCCAGACCAGCCTGCGCATCCGCGCAGTCTGATCAGGATCCATGCTGTTCGCTGTCAGGTTCTCTACTTATTATAGGGTTTGTAAGCGAACAGCATGGATCCGGATCAGACTGCGCGGATGCGCAGGCTGGTCTGGATCCATACTTGTCGCAAACTCATTAAGTTTGTTTTGTCGTGACGCAGCTCACTTGGTTTTCCATAACAGAGAAAAAAAATGACATGTATTACGTTCTTTTTTGCTTTGCCAGGATTGCAGCAATAAAAGAAGACGTCGGCAGTCGACTCACGATAACTGGAATCAAGCAGACGACAATAAGGGAGGCAACTCTTATAGAATTATAAATTCTCAAATCAGAGTGACAAACTCAAGCGCGATAACTTTTGGTAAATTTTGTTACTCATTTCTTAGATTTTTTTGAATGTCTTGTTTTTTCCCCTCCGAAATCCGCCATGAGTAAACATACACTTAGTTGCTAGGTATTCCAAGCAGGTTAAAACATTTAATTCCAGTTATAATATAGGGATTGTCCCATATTAAATGTCCCATGTGCGCGCATTTTTACTTAATTTCAATACACCCTCTTTCTTCAAACATTTCCACAAAATGAATGGAAGTTTTCATTGGTGACGGAATGGTGGCGATATGTACAAGTTTGAATTGCATGTTGTAGAGAGACAATGTATGTTTACTCAGTGTCGTAGGTACAAAACACTTGTTGAAAAAACAGCTTAATGTATGTTTACTCCTGGTAGTTTTGGAAGTTTCGTTGGGCACAAAACCTGTTGACCTCGGAATTTTTAGGTATTTTTTCAAGTTTGATAAAATGAAGATAGATGGCTCAATATATTTAACAGTTACTGAAAGATATATTGCACTATGTTTGCACGGATAGATATGAAAATATGTCTTATTTTAAAATATGCGAGAGCAAAATGTGACTGTGCCGGGAAATACGCTACGGCGAGTAATTTACCTTATACACGGTGCATACCTCTTTGCAAAATCTTCTTAAATGGTACCATTTTTGCACAAACACAGGTTATTCTCTTCTGAAAAACAAGTAGGCGACGTACACAAATCTAGTAAATGTTCATTCTACTTATAATAGGTTGTATGTCGGGAGAAAAAAGAAGTATACCACGGAACACCAGAATGTTTCATGTCTTTCGAATGAATTTGTCCTTTTTTAAAATTGCTGCAACTCCACAATCAGCTACACCAAAATCGCAATGTGTACATAATGTGTACATAATGTGTACATAATGTAAACGGGGACGAGTGCTGAATAGTAATTATTTTTCTTGAAGACCAAGGGGTGATAATTTTATGATTATTTGACCATTATTGGCAAGTCAATGTGCCGAACGTCTGTGATTTGCATTGGATAAACGGGTTTACTTCCAGTCTTTTGCAAGAAATGTACAAGGTATATATAGGCCCAAAGAAAGGCACAGTGGTTGGAAGTAGGAGGTGCATGTAATCGCAAGATAAAATACACGACTTACACAAATATAGTTTGTCCACTGTGATACATGTTTAAAGTGAACTTTACTAAAATATGTCGCATATGTACTTGTAACTATTATTTCTTTATTACACGAATTTTTCTAGCATATCTTGTGAAATCAATATAATTTATGTTATAATTATTCAAATTTCAGGATCAGCAAATATTTGGTCAGTGTTTGCATGGCTGGTGCTTAGAATTCTATAAAAAAAAACACATGAATTACCGGAAACTTCTAATGATTGTTCTGCGCATGTGCAAGCCAAGTCGGCTTTGAATATGTAATATAAGTTCTGACATGAAGATATGCCTATATAAATATCTGTATTAAGTTCCTAGTTTATTACAGTTTATGAATGTTCTTCCTCTTATTCTAGTGGCATTACCAATGTTGTATCTAATAAAGTACCGTCAAATAATTTGTGTTTGATGTTACGTTCAAAACTCTTGTGAAATAAAAATTTCAAGTAAAATTTGTGATCTATTGTTTAATTACATTAACAGCCAAACTTGCCAATGGCGACTCATCGAATTAAACGGCGTATATGACCATATTTTAGACCACTATATACAGTTACTGAATTAAACAGCTATATGACTGACGCAACTAACGACCCTAACTATTGCTCCATGTGACTCTTATTAATACGGTTGTATTAAACACTTTTTTGTCAATGTGTATTTTATTTTCTAGTTTTTGGAGGGGGCGGGGGTATTACGTCTCACCAAGGCAGTATAGGTCATATGGCGACTTTCCAGCTTTAATGGTAGATGAAGACCTCATGTGCATAATTTCAGGGACGAACGGGCACCTGAGTAGAGCCACCGACACTAGCTTGATAACTTCCTCACATGAAAGAATCCAAAGTCTGAGTCGCGATTCGAGCACACAGGGTGAGGGACAAGTAGTTCGAAGTCACTGACCGTAACCACTCCGCCCGATCTGAAGAAGATGTCCACATATTATCCCGAACTGAAGTACATCTATACATGTTATCCCGATCTAAAGAAGACGTCCTAATTTTAATCGATCCGAACACGTTCACATTTTATCCCAATTTGAAGTAGGCGTCCTTATCATGATCTTAAGTAGACGATTTAAGTTTATCAGATAAAGAAGTAGACGTCCAGTTTTTAACCCGATTTGAGGTATATATCCAGCTTTTTTTTTTATGTAAAATAGATGTCTATACTTTTTTCAGATCTAATTAAGACATCTGCATTTTATACCGATATAAAGTAGACGTTTAAATTTTATCCCGATCTGAAGAAAACGTCCAGATTTTAGCCCGACCTGAAGTAGATGTCCAGTCTTTATCATGACCTGCGTGGGTTCGAATCTGTCAGGGACGAGACATTGTTTCATTGAGCAAGAAACTTTACACTCATTGCTTAGTACTGCTCAATACTGGGTTTGTTCCAGGAACGACTTCGAGAGTGTGTCTATAAGCTAAAAGCTTCCTGCACAACTAAAATAAATTCTGTATAGACCAAGAAGACGTCTACATTTTTTCCCGATCTAAAGTAGACGTCTGTTTGTATTTATGTCCCTGGGCATATAGTTATTGAACCGTCCATCCGTCTGTCCGTATGAGGTTAACATATTTCCTTGTTTTTTTCCGTTTTTATAAATAGCCTTTTCTTGTTAACCTATTCTTGCAAGTTGGATTTATCTTAAGTTTCTCATTATTACTTCATTCATTTATTTAATGATATATTCCATGGTTGGTAGAGGTATACCTTCAATGTCCTTCTTTTTGTGGAGTTATATGGAACGCCATAGCTGCCTTATTTAAACACTTCTAAAGTGGTCATGTCCTTTTGACAAATAGCGCTGTGGTTCTGATAAATGGTTATGTGGTTTTAATAAATGGTGATGTCGTTGTGATAGATGGTCCTGTAGTTTGAATGAATGATGCTGCGGTTTTTTAAAATGGTTATGTCGTTTAGACAGATGGTGCTGTAGATTAAATAAATGGTGCTGTGGTTTTGAAAAATTGTTATGTCGTTTTGACAGATGGTGCTGTAGTTTAAATAAATTATGCTGTGGATTTGATAAATGGTGCTGTGGTTTTGATGAATGGTGATGTCGTTTTGACAGATGGTGCTGTGGATTTAATAAATGGTGCTGTCGTTTTGATAATGGTGATGTCGTTTTGACAGATGGTGCTGTAGTTTAAGTAAATGGTGCTGTGTTTTTGATAAATGGTGATGTTGTTTTGACAGATGGTGCTGTTGTTTAAATAAATGGTGCTGTGGATTTAATAAATGGTGCTGTGGTTTTGATAAATGGTGATGTCGTTTTGACAGATGGTGCTGTAGCTTTGATAAATGGTGATGTCGTTGTGACAGATGGTGCTGTAGTTTAAATAAATGGTGCTGTAGATTTAATAAATGGTGCTGTCGTTTTGATAATGGTGATGTCGTTTTGACAGATGGTGCTGTAGTTTAAATAAATGGTGATGTAGATTTAATAAATGGTGCTGTGGTTTTTATAAATGGTGATGTCGTTTTGATAAATGGTGCTGTAGTTTAAGTAAATGGTGCTGTAGATTTAATAAATGGTGCTGTCGTTTTGATAATGGTGATGTCGTTTTGACAGATGGTGCTGTAGTTTTGATAAATGATGATGTCGTTGTGACAGATGGTGCTGTAGTTTAAATAAATGGTGCTGTAGATTTAATAAATGGTGCTGTCGTTTTGATAATGGTGATGTCGTTTTGACAGATGGTGCTGTAGTTTAAATAAATGGTGATGTAGATTTAATAAATGGTGCTGTGATTTTGATAAATGGCGATGTCGTTGTGACAGATGGTGCTGTAGTTTAAATAAACTGTGATGAAGATTTAATAAATGGTGGTGTGGTTTTGATAAATGGCGATGTCGTTTTGACAGATGGTGCTGTGGTTTTGTTAGCTGGTGATGTCATTTTGATTATTGGTGAAGTAATTATGTATATGGTGCTGTTGTTTTGATACATGGTGCTGCAGAAAATTATAGATGGTGATGTCGTTTTGATATATGGTAGTGTCACTTTGGTACCTGGTGTGGTCAATTTATGTACGGTGTTGTTGCTTTGATAACTGGGCCTGTAATTTTGATAGATGGTGGTGCTGTTGTTTTGATAAATGGTGCTGTGTAAATGAAAAATGGTTATGTCGTTTTGATATATGGTGGTGTCACTTTTGTACCTGGTGGTGTCATTTTATATATGGTGATGTTGTTTTTATAAATGGTGATGCTATTTTGATATATGGTGATGTTCTATTTATAAATGATGATACTATTTTGATGGATGGTTCTGTGATTTTTTATTACGATGATGATCTATTTATAGATGACCTGTCTGTTAACCGGAACATTTTGATCGGTTATTTTTAAATATGGAGACGTCTTTCTCGCCAAATTTTATAAAATATCATATCTTGACTGTTATTTATCCCAAAGTATTTCATTTTCTGCATAGATAACTTGCAGACAAAATCAGGCGTGATCTTTTCATTTTCAAACAATGTCCACAAGTTACCCATTCCAAGGTTTTTCAAAATTGCTTCCATTTTTTCACCAGTTAAAGCTACATTAAATGAATTTCTTAAAAACAGAAATAGCGACATTTCATTAATAAATTTGGTTTTATATCGACTCCAGATCTCATTATGGTGTCAAGGCAACCAAAAATGAGTTTTATAAGCATAAACATCTGCGACCTCATTGTGGCGAAATCGGAATTTGCATGAGAAACTCCGCCTTCGGGTCATCAGTACATCAATATTAAATCAACAAACATGGTTATAAGTAGCAGTCCTAATATAACGGTATATTTACGCTTTGTAACGGTTGTTTTCATACAAATTTAATATTTTTATGAGATGATTACTCTTTCCTGAACGCCATGCGAAGTGCACCGTGAAGCTACAACGGTTAATGTGTGTATGCACATGAAAATCTCGTATTTGCTGTGTTCTGTATTGCAACTTTAACACTGTGACGCAGCACATACATGAACTGATTATAGTATTCATTTGCATGTTAAAATTCGTATACGAACTTTAGTGTTACCGTGGGGTTTTCCGTTTAAAATCGTAATTTATGAACAATATTTGATGAGCTTTTCAACAATACTGTAAAAAAGGTTAATAAAATAGTAGAATGCTTGGTTACAAGGCCGACGGCAAAACATTTTTACATATTTATTTGGTTTATACAGAATTTATTTTAGTTTGATTGTGTAGGAAGCTATAAGCTTATAGACACACTTTCGAATCCGTTCCTGGAACCAACCAGTACTGAGCAATGAGTGTAAAGTTTCTTGCTCAAGGAAACAACTACTTGCCCCTGACATATTTATTTAATGTAACTTTAAACATATTAATTTTAATTTTAATTTATTAATCTCAGAGAATTACATTTAACCCTTTCCTTCATGAGCATATTGTAAAAAATGGCCGATTTCTTGAAAAACCTCCTGTTACAAGCTATGGAACTATGAAAAATGCTTTGATACTGATGAAAATTGGCACAAGTGTTGACTGGACAATAGCCTAGCGCTGTCTTAAATTTCCTGTAACATTTGCAACGGGGGAACGTCTCAAAATTGCCAAAAATCACTATTTTGCATTGTGTTTTTTTCCATCAAAACAAACTGATTTTAAAGTGCTGCAACTTCTCAATGGATTGAGATGGAGAAAAGGCTTTTAAGTGTTGGTTACACTTTACCTTACGATCGACCTGAGGTCATTTTAGCCTGTCACGTGTCCAAACTTTTCTTGGCGACGAGGGGGACTGCCGCCCCCATTCAACCCCCCCCCCAAACAGAAGGGGGCACATCCCCTTGATGTACCATTCTGATGGGGGCAGCGCCGAAAAAAAAAGATCACTTTTTAACAACATTTCTCAAACGAAAAGTAGTGTCTATGGCCTAAATAGGGCATATTTTTACTGTTTGAGGCCTCAAAAAAGGGGGGGGGGGCTCGACAAGCCGTTAAAACACGTCTATATGAGGTAAAGGGTTAACCATTTATCAAAATTACAGCACAATCAATAAAAACCACAGCACCATCTAACATAACGAGATAACCATTTATCCAATTCACAGCACGGTCTATTTAAATGACATAACCATTTATCAAAATTACAGCACCATGTAACAAAACGACATAACCATATATCAAAATTTCAGCACCATCTAACAAAACGACATAACCATTTATCAAATTCACAGTACCGTCTTTTAAAACCGACATCGACATGAATCAAAATTACAGCACAATCTTAAAAACCTACAACACCGTTTAACAAAACTACAGCATCATCTATCAATTCGACTTCGCCACTTATCAAAACGACATCACCATATGTAAAAACGACAACACCATCGACCAGTGCTACAGCACAATATTTCAAATAGACCTAACCAAGTATTGAAATCACTGCACCATTTATTCAATGACATCACCATATATCAAAACCACTGCACCGTTTATAACATGACTGCACCATATATCTAAATTACATGACCATCTATCTGAACGACATCACCATATATGAAAATAACATCACCATCTATTAAAACCATAGCACCATCTATACAAACGACATCACCATTTATC